CAAATCTTCTTTAATAAAACCAAATATAAAGCTTTTTAATTAAATCATATTCAATTAAAATCTTCTTTAAATATATGATTTAGTAAAATTCTCTTTAATCTGATTTGATTTCAAATATTTTTTTCAAACACAATCTTTGCAAATTTTTGAAAAAACTAAAATAAAATAAAAATCTTGTAATAAATGCTAAAGCGATTCAATAGACAAAGAGTGCACCACAATAAAAAATTAGATGTCTCACAACAAATCAAAACATTTAATTTAACAAATTATCGGTAAAAATTAGTCAATCATCTAAAACCACGCCTCATGACAAACATTGTCAAGATGATTTTTATACAAAGAGATGGTTGAAATATTGGATCTGATATCATTGGATCATAAAAAATAAAATAAAAAATAAAAAAAATTTTAAAAATCATTATATTGAATTTTGAACAACCACGCAAATGAATTCGATACAACATCTTACCATAAAGTTTTAAATCGATAGAAATATGTGCCATTTTATTTATGTTCAACTCACTTTACCATTCAATGTGATATTTATATGTGAGAGTGAAGTGCAATTTGTACAATTTGGATTGAGTATATTAAAACAAAGGTGTTAAGGCAGGTTTGGCCGCAAAGAGGCTCACATCTTGTAAAAAGATCAAAGCTATACTTTCTCTCACAAAGGGATATCTCACGGAAAGAACAAAAAATTTCAAATCCTAAGAAATATTTAAAATTTATACCCAGTACAAGTTTAATGTGGGAAATTTTTATAAGATCAACATGCATTAATATGAAAGTAAAATAATTGTTAGTTTTCTTTGTGAATAAGGAGTAGTCAAATTTGAACTTAGTGGAACTTAATTTAAGAAGGGTGAAGATTAACTTATGACTTCTGTTTACTAGCTTGCTTAAGATCATAAATGGTTTGATTAAGCTTGCAAACAAGGTTTTTATTAGCGACTTTTAGCCCAAGAGGGATTCTCATATAAACTTTTTCTAAATCATCATGTAAGAAAGCAGTATTTATATGAAGTTGGTGTAAATCCAGTTATGACATGATGTTATAGAAAAAAGGAATATATTTATAAAAAAATGTGTCTTTGGAGAGAAAAAGATGTTTTTTTTTAAGCTTAGATGGGATATGGTCTTTGACACTGAGTTTATTTTCTAAGCAAATACACTTTTCAGATCTAGGGTTAAGCTTAGTTTTGTTTCTCTTAGAACTAGTGGCATAGACTAAACATCCAAACACTCTCACATTAGTATAATCACAATTCTTTTAAAAAAAGCAAAACAAAAAGTGCTTCATATAGTAATAATATAGAAGGAAGTATATTGATTATAAAACTATAGAAAGGGCACGAGCCCAAAATGTTTAGGCATATGAGTTTGGAAAAGGAGAGCACATGTTATTTCTAGGAGGTGTTTGGTGTTTTCTTTCAACATTAGTATTATGTTGTATGCCAAGCTTAATGTTTTAACATATGTTTGAAATTGAGTTTGAACATAGGTGATAAAAGATTTTACAAGATTAGAAGTTTTAGATTTTAGTTTCATGAGGAAAATTCAATAAAAACAATAAAAGTCATCAACAACATTTAAAAAATATTGATGCCCTAACATTGAGGAAGTACAAAAAGTATCGTGTGTGTGCGAGCATGCGTGCGTGCATGGTGTGCGCGCGTGCATGTCTGCATGCGTGCGAGTGTGTGATTGTGCGTGTGCGTGCATGTGTGTGTAAAGTCAAAATATTTTAAAGGCTTATGATTAAAAAACAAGTATTATATGGGTTGGGAATTTCATACATGTTGTGCAAAAGAATTTTTTTATTAATGTGAGTTATAGTATTTTGAGATGGATGGCCAAAACGTTTGTTCCATAAATTACAATTATTGATTGTAAGGATGTTAGATCTATGGCTAAATCTAGGGGAATTATGATTAGGGATATGAGAAAGATAAGCAAATATAAGCCATGTTGAAGCTCACTTACATCAATCCTCTTCAGGTATGGTTCTCATGTACGATACATTTATTATGGTTAAAGTAGATATTACAATTAAGGGAAATAGTGATATTAGGATAACAAATATGGTTAATACAAAAATCAAGTACGCACAGAATATTATTCAGATAAAAGTCATTGTTGAAAATAATTGTGCCATAAAACTAAGTGCGGAAGGTGGCTACATTAGGAAGCCTAAGATGTATGGTTTTAATTTCAACTACACGAGTATAGAGATGTCTGAAATAGAATACATGGTTTGTGGCCCCAATGTCTCAAATCTAGTTATGATCTTTTTTTAATTTATATAAAGTGAATGGAGTTATGAGTACTTGACGGTGATGCGAAAGAGGTGTTAAGATGATGAATGTTGGAAAGTCGAGGAATTAGGTTTGTTGAAAAAGAGCGAAAAGAGTGTGTTGTTGCACAACAATGAATCCAATGGGAGTGTCTTCAGTTATGTCTTCAAGGGGAGATTATTGATCTTTTATCACAATGTCTTCAGATGGAGAGTATTTAGTTAAATTTGTCTTCTTGAGGTATGTGGGTAACCTGTACTTCTAGAAGCATGCTTCTATGGTGTGCCCATGTTTGTGACAATAAGCAGAAAATAATGGATTTCCTCTTTAAAGTTCGGTGCGAACAGTTCTTGCTCCAAAATTTAAATTTTAGTTTTTGTTGTAGGGTTTGAATATTTAGGCAATGATTTTATCTTCTTCAATGGGTGTTGTGTATTGTCTTTCTTGTTGAATGAGGAGGGAGAATACCTTGTTGATGGGTGGTAGGGGTGCGTAAGCATGATTTGGAATTGGATAGGAGTGTATTATTCATATAATCCCTTAAGAAAACGAATGACATAATCATTCTCTTTGTAACTCTTGATTGTCGGAAGAAGAAGACAATGATGCTTTATTGTGCAATTGCATTTTGTTATATATACCTGAATTAACAAGTTCGAGCCAAAGTTTTTTCTGAGTAGTAGAAAACTCTAATATTTTGATCTTCTTGCTTGAGTGAATAAATTTCCTTTTGAAGATCGGATATCCGAAAGAAATCGCCTTGGCGGTATCTGTCTTGGAATTCTTGTCAAATTTCATGTGTCGTATCTATGTGACTCAAGTCATTATCATAGTATTGCACTGATCCCAAGCAAGAGAGGTTTGGTTGGAGCTTTCTGGATCAGTTAGGTTCCATCAAGAAACCATAATTTATTTTTGAAATGGAGGGCGGATTTGATATATCGAGACCATGTATGATAGTTCAGATTATTTAGAGAATAAGAAACAATGACAATTCCAAGATTGCCCCTGAATGTTAAAAAAAAAAGTTTAACATATTTGTTTGATAGGTACGATTAGAGTGTTGGTTTTTGAACAATGATCACTAACCGATGAAGTAAATATTGTCGTTTGATAATAATTAAATGAATTATGCAAATTAATTATGCTTAAATATTGTTGCTTGACAATGATCAAATGAATTATGCAAATTAATTATGATTGATTCAAGTAGACGGACTCGCAGATGAAATTTTAAAAATGTGATGTTCGAACCAATTAGCATTGAATTTTATTAGTTTGGTTTGATTTTTGTTCAAACTAAAAAAATGTCTAATCCAAACATTTTAATTTAATTTGGATTCGGATTTGTCCAAAATAATAAACACATACCAATTAGTAACTAAGTTAAGAGAATTAGACAAACTTATTTGAATTGAATTTGTGCCATATTAGAAACAAACTATACATAAAAGAATAAAATTAACTTGGCATTAAAGATTAATACTCTTTATCTTTCTATTTTACTTTTTTTTGTTTAGACTAAATTATAGTTTTGATTTTCTTATATTGTTTTATTCACAATATTTGTTTCTCTATCTTAAATTTAAATAATTTTGATTCCTCTATTTTTAATTCAAACAATTTTAGTTTCCTCTTAAATAAAATTGTTTTTTAATATATATTATCTACAAAATTTAATAATTGGTTTATATACGATAAATTATTATGATTTACATGTAAATTGTCATTTAAAAAATAAAGACGTCGTTAATTTTAAATTCAAAAATATGAAAAGAAACTAAAACTATTTAAATTTTAAAATAAATAAATCAAAATTGTTTAAATTTAAAATAAAAAAACCAATCGAGGACCAAAACTATAATTAAGATTTAATATAACTCACATTCTAACCATCAAACAGATTTATATACCTAATAAGATGTGCAAGTATATCAAGAGTAACACCAAATAAGCGTTTTAAATAAATTTTTAATTCATATTTTATGTCGCTCTAAAAATATTATATTTTCAAACAATTATAGTTAAAATACTGAATATGTTTGATCTTATCCTGCTTCTAAAATAACACAACTTTTTTGTGATGCGTTGAGAATTTAAATTTTTCTCAATCTCTTATGTGAATTTTAATACTGTTTTCCAGATTTCTTTTTCTTTTTGTTTAGTAAATTTCGGTAAAGAAAAAAATCAATTAAATGAAAACCTATCAATCATTTAACCCAAATATCTTGATTACTACTAAACATTTACACTTAATGCTTGAAAAAAACATCTATACTTTGATGGAAATATCACTTATAATCCAAACAAAATTAATTATTTTAAATTCACTTTTTAAACACCCCGTATAACTTTTTTTCTTCTCAAAATCAGATCTCTAGCTAATCTATTAAAAACAATTATATCAAAGTCTAACCAGAATCACTTCTAGAAAGTTAATCATAATAACAAGGTAATGAAAGTATTACATAAACCAAAAACATAAATTTAAGCCTGAAATTAGATGCAAAAAACTGAAGGCATCCAACATTTGTCTGGTTAGCATGTGGAAACTAAATTATCATAAAGCAATCATGACTTGATTAAGCCAAAGCTAGCCAAAAGATCATAAAGACAAAACGTTATAACGCGAACCTATGTTGCAGGAACATGATAAACATCCTTCTGAGAGTAAAACTATTCAAACTCAATTGTGGCTACTTACTTAGCTTTACTCCTAGTACTCTTACTATTTTGATTGCTTTGAACACTTTTCTTTGATTGCTTGTTAGCCGGAGCTGGTTTCTTCTTTTCAACTTGATCACTGTCATCGTCATTATCAGTATCAGCATCACCATCATTGTCATCGTCACTTTCCTCAGTCTTTTTTCTTTTAGAAGGTTTTCTGCCTTTAGCTCCAGCCTTTGCCCCCTTCTTTCCCAAATTCTGGTCTTCCTTCTTTGTAGGATTCACAATGTCATCGTTGTTATCATCATCTCCTTTTGCTTTCTTTGAGGTTTTCCCTCTAGCTTTACCAGTTTCTTTTAACTTTTGTGGTCCACTTAGCTTTTGCAGCTCTGGCACGTACGCAGTTGTCTGAGAGCAATAACATTTGCAGATTAGGAATAAATGAAAGATGTTGGCGAAAAACAATAAGGGCAGTGTTCAGATTGGCATACCCTGCCACCTGCGGTGATGAAGTCAATTTCTTTCCCTGCAATCAAATGAAAATGTATAAATGTTTGAATTTGTTATTATTGGACAGGAAATTAAAATATAAGCAGCTAGAGACCATAGTAATTAGGGCATCATTCATGTCACACAAAAAATATATATTAGTTTTTATTTTTTACACAAAGTAGGAAAGCAAACCGTCAACAAAAGCTTTGCCGGGCTTCTTTTCACGAAAATGAAATATCCAATTAGTGGGATATTGACTACTATCTGCTCCAACTTCAACTGCTTTTTCAATAACCTGTAAAATAAATCTATTTGTCAAGTTATAAATGGTAGAAAAGTATTCCTCACCACTTATTTTTCCAGGCTTTTTCCCCCATCGAAAATGAAATAACCATTCAAGGGGAAAACGGCTACAGTCAGCATCAACTCCAACAGCAAATTGAATAACCTACAGGTTTTATCCTCTATTTTTATGGAATCTACATGTTACATAACTATAAACAATTCAAAGAAAACCAGCACCCCCACCTCTGTAATGCACTCATACAAAGTTGAGCAGTTTTCTCCTGACAAGCTAGAAGCTGTCTGCTGTGGATGAATCCTTGCCTGGAAATATGAGAAATATATTGTTATAAAGCATGGAGTAAATTATCTAATTTGGAGTTATCCAAGGCTAGAAAGATAGTTTATTGGCCATTGACTTCAAAAAGAATACTAGATTCAATGAAATGCCATTTCCAAAAAAAAATTGAACTTCCTGCCTCCTAAATGCCTAATTATAATTGATAAATACAGATGCGAAAACAAGCAGCGCCATTAAAAACATTTTCCATTCAGTAGCATATTGGTCTCATGAATCCAATAATGTCATAAAACCTATCATGAATCTTGCCTGGCGACAGAAAATTTGATTCCAAGTTGTTCCTAGATGTTTGACCAATTGAATTATAAAATCTAGTAACTAATTATAGTTGCTTAACAGCTTAGATTCATCTAAATCGATTTCAATTCTCTATCAAAAAGGTAGAGAATTAATCCTCAAGGTGGCAGACACATGAATATTCATATCTAAGACAAGACTAAAAGTAACTAATAAGCATCATAGGTTCCAACATATTTCTAACAAAAATTATGCTTTTTTTCCGTTCTAACTAGATTTCAGACCATTCACAATCTTGATGACATGAACAAGTATCCTGTTCAATCTGCATATGGTAAAGGATCTAAATGAAAGTATGAAACCAATACGGAAGATAAAACCATCGTCTTACTTAGGCAATACTAATACAACCAAGGACGGGATATTGGTCTATTAAAACTCAATGAAGTACATCGATTTTTCTTGAAATCATGTTGATCACTGCCTATTAACTATTATCACATGACCATACATTTAAATTGCTAAAAGGATCAAGTTTAGATGAGAATTAAAACTTAAAGCTTAATAAGTTCAATACAATTATAAACTAAAAATTCTTCTGCAGTTAAAAATTTATTGGAAAATATCAAATATTCAAAATCATTGAAGAAATGAAGGATGCACTTACTTGGTAGAGCACTTCATCTGCAACCCAATTTCCAATACCTGAAATATAGCTCTGCAAAGAATGGAAATTTAATATCTTTTATAAATGATGAAGTCTACAGTAACATAAAGTTGGGACGTCAAATACTTATGCATTGTGAAAGCACAACAAGAAAAGATGTAAAGACAGAAATTGGCATGCAAGGGGCTTTGCGTTAAGAAAAACTACGGCATTAAAAGTTAGCATACCAATATTAAAACAGAGAAAAATAACGCATGTGGTATAGTAAAATAGCTATATCTTGATCATAAATAAACAAAATAAAATTTAAAAGACAGAATACAATATTTGGGAAGTGATAAAGGTGAGTTGTTAGTACTTGATCTAGTAATAAAGCCTTGATTTCTGTTTTCTTCTTGTGCAAACGCCCAGTGAATTCGTCAAGTGTCATGGGTTCAAAGAGTGCATCAGGACCAAGCTCAGATATGGGAGGCACTGATGTCGGCTATATCAAGAAAAAATACAGTTAATATCAAACTCTTATTTATATGGATGACAATCTGCAAGTAGGGTCACAATACATCTTTGAGCAGGCGAACTTTCGCAAATCTCCTTTTGTCAGTGAAAGATATCTCTAAACCATCATCTAGCTGCACCAACACGATTAACACTTGTTAGTATTCTATTGTAGTTCACATGAATGACAATACTCACTAGAGAAGCATATAACCGACAGACTGACTATACTTGCAAAAGAAAATTGAAAAAATTATAAGACAAATCACCTACGCACAGAGGCGGAAGTTCATAATGTTTTAAGCTTTGTATTAAGAGTCTCACATCGGATAATATATGGCATGAATATGTGTTTATAAGTGGGGACAATCCTTACCCTACAAGCCGGTTTTGTAGGGCTGAGTTAGATTCAACCACATTTCTTAACATGGTATCAGAGTCTCGTTTAAGATCCGGTGGGCTACCTACTATAGTTTCCACTGTCAGGCCACCCACCATTTATTTTCACACTCCAGTTGTCTAATCCTGAGCGTGAGGGGTTATGTTAAGAGTCTCAAATCGGATAATATATGGCTTGAAGATGTGTTTATAAATGGGGGCAATCATCACCCTACAAGCTGGTTTTGTAGGGTTGAGTTAGAATTTGGACTAAACCTAACTCAACACCAAAAGTTGGCTTCAGGGATGAGGAAAGTCCAAGTCTTACAAGGAATACTTTGACAACATTTCTAATAAATGTGGGATCTCAAAAATGATGCTTCACTACACACTATAATTTAATACTACACTTGTTTCTTTTTAGTTGTCGCATTAAGGTTATATAAATATACCAAGACTACCAATAAATTGTTACTTAATTGACTAGAAAAAAAAAATTTCTCTCGCACCATGAAACCATGTTTTTTGGATGTAGACAACTTAATCTGAATATATACATATAGTAGTCACAAAGAAAATCTAGCCCAACTCTAACATAGTATAAGCTACTCGCATCTTACAACTGATAGTCCCCAACAAATAGTCCGTTTAAATTTTTCATCAAATATAAAACAAAGCATCAGACTATGAGAGGCTACATTCCCAAAGACTTAAGAATGATAAGTTCAAGCATTCCAATCATCAACGGAGTGACAGCTGTTACCTGAATAAAAAACTTTGAATATTTGGAAGGCCATTCATCCTCATCATTTACAGCAGACCTGTATGAAAGTTTGTATCATTACATTAACCACTGAGGGAACTTGTAGGTGCCAAATCATTGCAACAACATAACACACGACACTCAGGTGGTTCTACACATTTGAGACACGTAAACTTAGGTCAATATCAAAATAAAACTCTACACATAAGGGTGAAATAAGAAATTAACCCAATGAAAACACTTATTTCGCATTCTGAAATTAATTCCTACCAAAAAATTAACATCTGAACTTGGATCAAATAAAAAAAATATTGTTTCAGTTGTATGCTTCTAACACAGCAACAGACTTTGCATATTGAAATTTACATTTTCTTACTGTTTAATAAACTACATAAAATACCAACATACTCTGACGTCCTTCAGCTACAATCACCTACTTATAGAAGTTTAGAGAAAGATGAGTCTTCATTTCCATTGAATTGAAAATTCTTATGAGAATACATAAGGGAAAGTCACTAAATAGTTAGTTTAACACTAACCAATTGACAAACTTTGCTAACTGACCAACCAACAATCCTAACTAACTTCTAAAAGCAAACTAAAAGGATTCAATACAGAAACTGACTAAGATTAGCTGAAATAGACAGCTTGAAACTACTTGCATATATGGAAGAAACAAACTGCATAACGGCATTTCTCTGAAAATTTGCAGCTTGATACTAGGAATGAAACATGCCGTCTAGTGTAAGATAAAAGCTCTAGCAAAGAGAAAAAACACCCGACACATATACTGAGGGGATTCGGCTTAACACATGAAAATGAAAATCCAATATCCATGCAAATCATTTTACAGACTCTAACTATTAGCCCTACAAACTATCATGCTCGTGCTCATGCAATTAGTTTCCTGCATGTGTTTCCTATAGTGATGTAGAAATGGAAAAACTCACTTTAACTAAATTCTAAAGCTCAGTCCAACAAGTTTGATTAAAAAAACATTATATTGTAAAACTGAAAATGCATTATAATCAGAGTCTTTGTCGTCAAATATTTGAAAACTTGAGCATAACTTGTGAGGTAGGGATTAGTTTAAAGATACCCCGGAGGCCTCACCTTTTGTACTTTGTCACTGCAACTCCCTTGATGTATATTGCACCAGCCATACCTAACACAGTTATAAAAAGAAACTCGCAAGTTAGAGAGAGAACAGGAAGCTAGGGTTTTAAGAAGTAAAAGGAAGAGACAGAGACAGTACCGAATTGGAAGGAAGGAAACGGTGGAGAATCGAGCTGAAGCCACATGTTCTTGCCCTTCCGGCGAGCTGCAACAATGGTTTTGCCGATTACGGAAGCTTCAAAATCGGTGTGAGAAACACCATCGATGACTTTTGAATCATCGGCGACGATACACTTGGTTATCTTCTTCCCGATACAGTTGTCTTCCACCGCCTTCCTCGCCGCCTCTACCTCTGGTAGCTCCGGCATTGTGCTCAGTCGCTCTGATTGCTATCTATGGAGTTTTCCCGCGTTGGTTTTCTTCTCTTCTCTTCTTACAAGTACGCTACTCTATGATCATTCGTTCTGTTTGGGGTTTTAAGCTATTGTACCGTTGCATCTGAGCAGCAAATCGTGTCCGTTGATAGTGCTGTCAGCTGTGTGCCAAACAACGGCTCTGATTCTTCATATTTCAACTAGGAATCTGGTCATATATATATATATATATATATATATATATATATATATATATATATATATATATATATATATATATATATATATATATATATATATATATATATATATATATATATATATATATATATATATATATATATATATATATATATATATATATATATATATATATAAAAGAGAACCGTGTAAGAAATAAAAATTATTAATATCAATCCATCCGATTTAATTAACGTTTAAGATTTAATAAATTTATATTAAGAGCACTTTATTGAATCTTTTCTATTATATTTAATATTTAAAATTTTTATAAAAATAAAATCTTACCAAAAATATTTTTTTATATGATATTTAATTTTCCATATATATATATATATATATATATATATATATATATATATATATATATATATATATATATATATATATATATATATATATATATATATATATATATATATATATATATATATGCGCGGATCAACTTATTCTAAAAGTAAATTAAATAAATTTTTTTAACTTACTCAACAACATAATCTTTAAATTGAATATAATTCAATGGTTAAATTAGCATTTATACTTATAATCATTTGATTAAATCTAATTGTAAGGCTATGGTTATATATGTGTGGTTATAATCATTCCTAAAATAATAATATATTGGATGAGTGTATTATTTGAAATAATGAAATAAATATTATATTCAAATTTTGTATTTAAATATTGGATGGTCAGTTGAATAATTTTTTTATATTTAAATATTATATATGTGTGTGTGTGAGAGAGAGATAGAGAGATTAAACTTTGTCATTTTCTCTTTTTCCGCCACATCCTCGTTTTAGGGACAAAATGTGTCCAAATATTATTTTTTTCAACCAAAACACCTTTTAAATGATATAGTTACTATTACTCGGTAAAAATGTTCAAGTTTTAAGTGCTGTCAGATGTTAATTGTTTCTAAGAGCATAATTATCGGTCCAAATGTATGATTCCTACACTATTACCAAAGTGATTGTGTCAGAAAAGGATGGATAATTGCATAATAACATCGTTCTTCAATTTGCAAGCGTTGTCACATTAAACAACGTTTCTACAAGTGTCACATGTGCATTTAATTAATTATTTAATTGGAAATAATTGTAATATAAGATATATTGTGGTATTTAGTGGGACCCATTTTATAAATTTTATGAGCTTTATGAATATTTGGAAAATGTAGTTGAGTTGTTTAAATAATTTAAAAGTGTAATATAATGTAAAAAAATAAGTGGGATCTATTTAAAGAACACAAATGGGTATGATGGATGTGAATGCTCTAAGTAACTAGAAGAAATGATAAAGTTAACTAATTCATTTTCCCAATGTAAAAAGTACAAAATCTACCAAATCACTTTTATCAACTTCATTATCTCACTTATATCATATCTCTCATTTTCTCTCTACATTTGCTTTCTTTTCATTTTCTCTCTCATTTTTGCTTTCTTCTCTATACCAACTTCTTAGAAACACCATTTTTATTCACCTATTGCTCATTAGTGAAGGTGAGATTACAAGGCATTATTGTTCTTCTTTTTGCATGTATTTGAGATATAAGATTGTTATAAAGATCGGAGTTCGTGGTGTGGTTTTGCGCATGCATCTTTGTTTTTTTTTTAAAGAAACACAATTTATTGAATGTATTAATTGTGTTGTTGTGTTTTGACTCTTTTTGTACTGTTATTCATGGTTTGTTGTAAATTCCCAATCATTTGTCTCCATCTTCTTCATTTTGATGACAAACGACATGCTTATGTTTGATATCAATGTGTTTGTTCATTTGAAACTATAAACATAAATTTTGTTTTTTGGTGTACGACGTTGAAGCTATTATGTAGAGATTTCATATGACCTTAAGATAAATAACTTTATGTTTGTTCTATTGAAACTATAAACATAACTTTTTCTTTGTTGTTGCATTTTCCTTGAAGCTAATTTGTAGACATTTCTTGAAAAATGCAGGTTGAAAGTGATGGCAAGGTGTTGCGTGAGAATCGAATATCAAGCTATTAATTAACTTGAACCATAAATTTTTAAATTTTCACCACCGAGTTTCGATTTATCAAAAGGAAAGGGTTAAGATCGAAGAAAACCCTAAGTTCCCTACATGACAATGAAGCTAAGAGATTGGGGGTTTGGGGGTTGGTTATTGTCATACCCTAAATTTGTCCTACCCATTGGTAAATATTTTTGCATAGTTTGCTTATTTTCTTGTTATTTAGACAACGTGTACGTCGGAATTGGTTGATTTTTTAAAATTTTATCTTTTTGCCCAACAAAGGCGTGACACGTGGCTTAAGGACTTTTTTTTGTGAATATTTATTTATTTATTTCTCTAACTTCTTTTTTTGATATAGTATTTTTTAAATAAATTTTAGTTTGTTTTAATATTTGTTTTTTAATGGTTAATATTTATATAATTGGTTTTATTAATATTCATAGTTATTATTATCTTATCATTATTATTTTTTGTTTGTTTATTAATTAGCTGTGTAAATATTAATGTGTATTAATAGTTTTTAAGTTTTTATTGTTAATTAAGAAAAAAGAAAAATGGAAGTTGGGGAAGGCCCATGTTTGGCCCGATAGGGTTGAATTCAACAGCATATAAGAGAGGGACTTCATCTAGCTAAAAGGAGGAGGGGGTTTACTGTTCATCAAAACCAAAAGAAACCTAGCAGCCCCAATCATTGGAAACCCTAAAACCTATCATCTTCTTCACACCCAGCCGCCGCCGCGAGCTTCTGCTGTTCTTCCGTTTCATGCGATTTACGGTCACCACCGTCAAATTCGTTTCAGATCACCTCTTCTCAAACTACCAACCATCTTTGAACAACGTTAGCTCCCTCTTGCTCACCGATAATCTCACTCAACAACAATTCTCGGCTCACCCTTCCTCATCACCATCAATTTTCCGGAGAATCACTATGACGCAAAGCTTCCTCTGTCCGTTTTCGCAGCAAATCCGCGATTCATCACAAGCATCAAGTTGAACATCTTCGAAACATCGCTTCTCACTCTCCATTCAGTTCTTCCCGGGGCTGAGCAGAAGAGGTTCTTCTTCCTGATGCTGAGGAGAAGCAGCTCACTTTCCCGTTGACATGACGGTACCAACAAACTCCCCTTGTTTCTAACACAGCAGAAGCCAATATAGTGGCAAGACGGCGGTAATCTTCAAGTTTCTTTAGCTCTGTTATGTTTTTTGTTTTCGATTGCATTCTGCCTTGCCGTTACTCTATTCGTTGCAATTTCGGCTAGTTATTCTTAGCATTGGATTTTGTTATTCATATTATGGAATATTGATTTGATTTCTGCTTGGAATAAGTTTTGTTTACAAAACTAACTTTCTTTGTAAGTTTTTTTTTTCTTTTTCTTCTTTCTTTTCATTTACTTTGAAGTGCTGTCATAGTTTGTAAACGTTGTAATGAATTATATTGTTTTTGTTGCTGTGAATACACTGTGAAAATTACTTGTTATTTTGGAGTGCATAAGTTGAGGAAAATGATTTGTTTTCTACTGATAGATAAGAGAGGGAGAGCATAGTTTGCCTTATTTCTTCTTTTCTGTTTTGTTAGTAACAGGTGTGGAATTGGTTTTCCACTGTTGACTCGTAACCTTGATGATGGATGAGTGTTGGTTTTTAATTTTGTTTTAACATACTCATTGACTTTAATATATATTATTGAAAAAAGGTCTATTATCACTCAGTGCTAATTGTAGTAGTTTCTCTATGTCATATTGAAATTTCAATGCTATGTTATGTGGATATCTACTTAATTGACTAATTTCTCTATGTCATATTGGAAATTCAAGGTTATGCTATGTAAATATATTGTTCCTTCAAGACTGACACTGCAGTTGGATTGAACTTTGTATGGTAACGAAAAAGATATCTAGCATTCCATTGTTGGATATATAAAATAAAAGGGTTTAATTTTGTTAACATATTTTAAGTTACACTCATATGGTGTTATTACTAAATACATTCTTTTTAAAAAAAATTATGTGTTTTAATTATAATGTGATTTTAATTTATTCATTAGATTTATTTGATAAATTTTGTGTTTATAAATTGGTGTGATTTATATACAAGGTTTTTTTATGAGGTTGACTATTATCTCATTGTTTTTCGAATTCTAAATTCATGGATTATGTAATTTAATATAGTTATGCCTCAACATATTTTTCAATACAATTAAAAACTCAATTTTTTTTCTCGATTAAGCAACGGAAGTAGCGAGTTCTTAGAGTCTAGCACTCTTTGGACTCTTAAACGAATACTTTCGAAGCGTACGCTTTGGGTTGTGTTTGTTCCGTCTTTCGATTTTTAAAAAAATATTTTTCACTCAATTCAATTGAGATTTCTAAAAAGATATTCTTTTAAATCACCTTTATTCATTATATATTTTTATAAGAAAATTCAAATTATTCTTATATAAATCTCAAAATTATTACCAAATAAATATTTTAAATATTAAATATTAGAAACTATACTTTTTCTAAGATATTATTTTTTTTCAAAACATTTTAAAAATAAATTCTCGATTAGTCGAATTATTTTCTACCTTTGATCACTATACACAACATTTTAAAGCTTAATTCTAGGCTTCCTTACAGTGACACCTATTTGATCAATTATTTCTAGTTGGTCACTTAGAAGACTAGCCCACCTTACTAGTGCACACGTTTAAAATCAAATTCAAATCTCGACTCACCTCGAGTATTTTTTCAAAGCAAATTAAATCTTTGAAGTCTAG